GTTGCCCGATTCACTCAACAAGCATTCAAAATACATGTTTTCAAAGGTTCATGTTGTGTTTCCTATGTAAGTTTTAAAATTATCTATATGTATTCTTTGAGAAGGAATCGAAAACTTAACGATAATAAAGAGGGGATGTAAAACAACTTTAAGCTTCTTCTTCTTAATCCAAAACCGCCGAGAAAAGCCGTCTTAGATTACGGCAAGACATTGACATAACAAAATGGCTTGAAAAGGACTAGTAGAATTTATTCCAAATTAAACTATGCGTTTCCTAAAGAAAGGTTTATGCCATCACTACTTGGAGACAAAAGATGTAAACTTATTTGTTTGATCAACTCTGCATATCCCATCTCAAATTAGGAAAATGAAACAAAGCTCTTTTAATTTCAATACCATGTCCTCAGATTGACAGGAGCAAAGCCCTTCAATCGCCTGTCCCAACAATCTGCGTGCTCGCAGTAGTCCATAGAGCGCCCCTCTCGCAACTAATTGTAACCTTAGATACGAGTGATCTTGGTGGTTGCATATTACAGCCTTCAGTTAAAGGGTTGATTTCGTAAGCGTAACGGATTTGATCAATTAGAGATCAGTGTTCGGTAGTAAATCACATAATAAGTAGTAATTCAATAGCGATAGCTGGCTCTTTTTTTATCTCGAGCTCACAGAACAAATTTAAACTTCACCAGCGCGTTAAGTCGTTTTAGGCATTCATTAGACTTTGAAATGACACTCAAAAAAGATGGGAAATGCGTGTACGTATCGCGAACATTACCATTGTAACAGAGAGAAGAAAGCCTATTCAAGGCGTTGCTTAAAATAAACCGCTAAGTTATTTGATGTTTCTTAGCATAATATGTCAAAAAATAATTACAGGTTTTTTATCCTTATCTTCATACTACTCGCAGTATATAAGCTCGCAACCAAGGGTGCTTCTCAATTTTTTCGCAGTCGTTCGTCGATCTGGTCACTTATTTACCATGCGAGTGGGTGCAGGACATATGTTCACTGCCTTCTGGAACCTACTGCTCTTCTGTTCAGAAAGCCATCCATATCGAGTGCTACCTCATCCTACTGTTGTGTCTAAATTTTGTCTGGGGTGGAGGTAATGTTCCAGGTTCTTCGGTGATCCACCTTGCTGTAGAAATGTTCTGCTTTAAGAACATTATTATAAAAAGCTTATAAAAATTAAGACAAACTTCTTCCTTTAGAAATCAGACTTTCAGGCGCCGAAGGCGAAGGCGCTGAGAATGGTAAGGAGACAACGGTTAAAGGATCAGATCCTGAAGCGACAAAGGACGGATCAGATAATGAAGTGCCAAAGGATGGACCACAACCTACTGAAGCGCCAGCGGGCGATTCATCTCCTACAGCTCAAAAAGGATCGAGCAGAATGGAGAAACCGATTATGCCAACACTAGTGGCACTTGGATTGGCTTTTCTTTGAACAAGTATTATGACATTTTGCTGATGTATTGTGCCATTGTATAAAATTCTTTGGCATCAGATCTCTGTGTCAATGTATTTTTGCTTGAAAGGTAGTCTCAAGGTTCTGACCTTTCGATCAGGGAATGCACCTCATTCTTTCAACAAACAATTGAGATTACTTAAAACCTTGCATTCAAGTCCATTAGGTTCACTATAAAGCCCAAAACACAAATGCCCCAATCCATATTTTTCCACCCACGACCCACGGGCGTTTTCTCTTACCTTTACCCAAACTCTTTGAAGAAGCGAATTAAAAAACTGATTCTATGCAGT